CCCTTTCAGCGACGGATCAGCGAGGGAATTTTCCCTCGCTGATACCCAGCATTTTTGTAGTGTTATCGTAGTTACCGAATTGGGGCATATATATTTGGCGAATAATTATTTACTGACAAGAGAAGGTGTACACTGCATTAGGGGATAAGATCAATATATGGGGTTGACTGAAGTGCTAGCTGCTAAGTATCAAATATGGGAAATCTTGATCATTAGTAAACAATACCCAATGGCTTATGAATATTTCCCAAAAAGTTCAAGTTGCCATAAAAAATAATTCAGTTGGAAATATGATCCAACATAAAAGTTCTGCCCACTCTTAGGTTTAAGCATATTGTTTCAAGAATTAAATATTTTTTTCACTTAGTGGCTTAAATGGAGGCGTCCTTGTATCCATGAAATAACCCTCTTTGTTGATGCACAAACATCATCTTCCACTTATTACTTTATATATTTGACAAGATTTTGCTCAATTAATATTTTCAAAAATGTCAAGTTGAGAGGATTGAGTCATTGTGTGTAGAATAATTTTTTTTATTAACCTGGATATCTAACCCGCTATGCGAGCTGACTAATCCCAGGACGACCATCTGCTTTGCAGATAGCCCGAGTCACCGCATTTGAACCTCCGTGGCCACAAGGGGATTTTTATTCCTCCTTGGATTTGAACATGGGACCTCCTCGTACTTTTGACCTTTGGAGCCAAGTTCAAACCAATCAGACATCACCCTTGTGGTTTGTGTGCAGAATATTAAACACATAGAGTTTATGATATGATCTTGAATTTCTTTTAGAGATAGATGTTTCAAGTTTTTCAAAGACTTTGTTACACCTATAATCTTTGATTACTTTGTAAAATGAGATAACATAAATACTTATATGTTAAACATAAAAAACGGCTAATTAATCCTAACCAACTAACACTCTGAACCTGAATCTAAACCTAATTAAATATCTGAACAATTAACAATCTAAACCTAATTTACACAAAAAAAACAAGGGTATTTATAGAAATCGCAAACAATTCGATGGTAATTAACAAAGGAAATTTGAAGAGAGTAACATCAAAAGAAATCGAATTTAGGGCTCTACTTTGTGGAGCTCAAACACGACGATCAGAAGTATAAGAGAAGAGACGAGAGATCTATTCAAACGAAAATGTAAAATTATTGAGTTGTTCAAAACCAAGGTCCAAGTACACAATATTGTTTTTTGAGCTTTTGATTGAAAAGGGAACGACAAATTAGGGGAGGCAATGATGACTGATGATGCATATATTGTCTTATGATGTCTCTATAGCTTTAATGCACAGGTTGATGAAACATCTTAAGACATCATAAGACTTCTTAACAAGACTTCTAATTGTGGGTGTATTACAGAATGTTAAAGCATTGCATGGTCAACAATGTGAGATTGTGGTATACAGTCGTGATATCCAATGCAACATTCAAAACAATAGTGTAGCAACATCAATATTAGATGGTTCTACATGTTATGATCAGCTCGAGAAGATTGTATTGTTACTAACGGTGAATCTTGGTCAAAATGAAGCTAAGTTAGTGACGATACATGTTATGAAATTAGTCATTAAAAGTCAAACCTTCAGTATACAAAATTGTTTTGATGGATCATTAATAATTCGCTAAATTTCTTATGTAGTCACTACAACAAAATCGGGTTTATAGGATACACTTAAATTCTAAGCGTTCTAATAGACCTCTTTATAGGACTTAGTTTATAGGAACAAAAAAATAAAGTGTCCTATCTAAACTAAGTTTTGCAGTTCAATCAAGTTACCAACAAAAAAAATTAAAAAAAAAATTAAAGAAAACCCTTGTTACTTAAACAATGTGACCGTTGATCATTTTATATATTGAACAAAATGAACACATTTCCAAATTCCAATCCATCTAATCTTATTTAATCTTTCTTTTGTGGGAAAGAAGATGATAGACACAACTGATCGTGGTTGATCATTTTACATACTGAACATGTAGTCCATTTAACCTTTCCTCTTTAGGAAAGATGAGGATGCAAGAAACTTATTCTTATGAAACGACAAGATGATGAAATTAAAAGAGGAGGATACAAGCATATATAATGATCTATTGGGCTTTCACATACAAGCGTATTTAGGAAACCCCATTGTGATCAATTGATTGCAGAACAAACTCTACGTATTTCTCCTTGACTCCCTGTTTTCAACTCGGTATTACCCAACTTGACCATGGATCTTGCAAACTCAACACCGAAATTTAATTGAGGTACTCCCATAGCTCCAGAAAACTTCTGAACGAATGCCAGTGTTGTCGAGTTACTCAATAACTTTGCATCCGATTCAAGAACGCCCCGTCTATTCCTCACGTTTACAAAGTAGGATGTGTCGAAGCTGTTAACGCTGCCAGTATCAAGGGCCACACGTGTCGACGCGTTACCACCATTTGGGCAAAGAGCTCGGAGCTGAGGAAGGAATGTCGGGTTTATATCGGGGTCAGGTTGGTTGGTACCACTGAAATTGTATAGTCTGTAGCTGAAAACTGCACAAGCTGCAGTCCCAATTGTGTGTCCTCCTTGTAAACACAAAATTGCACAATTTAATTTACTATTAAAGGTTTTATCATGTAAAAGTAATTGTGGTACGTGTTTATGTCTTTTTACATATTCTGCGCCCTACTTACCAACAAGAGCAACAAGATCTTGAGCAGTAAGATTTTTATCTCTAAACTTGCTGATTTGAACACTGATAGGATCATTAAAGGCAGGCAAATTTACGGCATCAGATGCTTGAGAAACTAATCCATCTCTACGCCCTGTTGGCACCTGCCAAGTAGTTCCACCTGCCTGCCAGATGTCAGACATAACGATTAAAGACCACAGTTGAGCAATATTCTATACCACAATTGAAAACATAATCGGTTTTATAGGATATCAAAAATGTTTAAAATCTATAATAGACTATTTTATATATGCAACTTACGTTTGTGAGATACCCAAACTACTATGCCGTTTTATTTCAAATTGTTCTAGAAACTTGTTAAGACGCAAGAAACATATTAATATCGGGCACATAATTCTTTGTTCCTATAAGCTTATGTGATATCAAACAATCTATATATTAGGACACTTAAAGTTAATTGGCGACCTATAATTTAAACCGATTTTATTGTAGTATTATTAATTAATGCACAAACACCACCATAAAGTGTTAATTACGAAAACATAAAATTACCAGGACCACGGCATCACGGGCAGCAAGAGTAAGAATGTCAGCACATGAGACCACTCCAGGACAGGCGGTTTCGATCTGCGACTTTGCAGCGTTGATAACTTCGAATCCTACCAAGGAGAGGTTGGGTCGCGCTGTCCTTTCAGTTGATGTGCCGGAAAGTAGTATAGACGCATCACAACCCAAGACAAAGCAGTCGTGGAAGAACATCCTTAGTAAACCAGCTGCCACCCCAGGATTAGTTTGAAAAGCAGACTGAACCGTGGCCTGGATTATGGTTTGGACCCTTGGACAAGTGGTCCCATAAAAGTCAACCCGTGTTTGGCCTCGTGTCATGGTGGTCTGGGTGGCGAACAGGAGACACAACAAGATGTGCAGTTTGTTAAAGGAAGAAGCCATCTTCATTACTACTATAAAACAGTATGTATGATGCTTTTCGTTGCATGAACTACTGGGTTTAGTAGAAGATCGAGATGAAGTGTGATATATCATGGGAATGCTATTTATAGCCATTAAGATATAATGGGTATAATTAAGACGTACAATAAGTTGTCAACAAGCTCAATATGAAGGATGTTGAAAGAAAGATATTAAAACTTCTTGACAAGTGGGATCCAACTGATCAATGGCAATATATATATATATATATATATATATATATATATATATATATA